TCGATTTATCTAGTCACCGTATTATATCCCAGAATCATGCTTAAATGCATACTTTAGTCCAGATCTTAAGATTAAATTAGGTTCAATATCATGTGTACAAAGAAATGAAAAATAAAGATTCCATACGTATATTTGTACCAGTTTAAGCACATAATATACCACACCAGAAAATTAAATTTACGACAAATATAGTAGGCCTAACATTTACAGAAACGCCAAAGACCTTAACGTGATCATTTGACCCGAGTTGGTGCATTAATGTCATTTTTTAAACCATGCAAGATTTAGTGGGTAAACATGTGATAGGGAAGCGATTCATCCACTAAATATAACTCGTCATTAGTTTAACCTGTATCGTAGTATGTCATGTATGGTTGGTGGAAACAACTCAATACACTGGCCCGTGCATTCTCAGGTATATATAGGTACATCAAATATCATGGGCTATAACCAATGAAGTGTGGCGGATTTCGTGACGTTTTCTGTGAAATATAACATACTTCCGGGTAGCGACCATTTGTTGTACCCCCGGGGCTTGAGGCCCGAACGCTCCGTAACCACCGATAACTTATACCGTTCTGTCGAAGTTTCATTCATAATGTTTCCGATCTACCTGGAAGTCACCGCCGGTGACAGGCAGCATTTCACTGTGAAATGGGTTACAAAATCAGATTTACAAGATAGAAATGATAAAATTCAAGAGCGCAAACGTTGCTTTCACTTTGACTTACCTAACCCTAATCGGAAAAAATCCGTTTTTTGTCGGATGTTGATCTTTTTCCTGATGATGATTTCTTCTAATGTTTTCGCCTTCTCCTCGATAAATGTCCCCCCCCCCCCCAACCCCTCAAAAAGAAAAGACTTTGTGGTAATGTTGTAACATCCCCGTGCCTGGATCTGTCCCTATTCCCGATGACATTGTATTACGATCAGGTTCTTACAATGAAGAATATCGTCATTTTGGAACTCATTGTATTTTAGTTTTCCTGTACACTAATCTTTATTTGATGTATTTCGATGTGAATTGATTTTTCTGTATATGGCCGTATATACTTTTCACAACGATTAACTATTTTGATAATACACACATAAATTGATATACATGTAGTTCAAAGCATATAAGTTCACACACATTTTTTTTTCTTGATCCCTGCTACACTACATGGCTGTACGACTGCGGGTTTACTACAATTTACAGTTAGAATATTGAATTATAAATGCATATAATGAGGACGATTCCAAGCTATAAAATATTATATTGATTAATTTTTGTTATAGCTGGTTCATCGGTTGTAGTAATTTTATAGCTAATATATAAGTTAATTTACTACATCTTACATTTCAATATAACAAGATTTTAGCTAACATCCTTTCACGTTGGCATTGCAACGACTATTTTTATTCATTTATAACATATTAAAATAGCCTACTGCCGTAATGCTGTTTACCAAATATGTGTCTCCATCGATAAAAAAACCCCAGTATATCGACACACGATATCAACACCTCACATACTTGCAAACACTGTTTCACCTTCATGGTAAGTTCGGCGGAGGAATACATGCGTGAATGCTCGTTTAAAAACATGGTGAGGGGGTTGCGATAGAGCGTTGCACACATAGAAAAAACGCGCACACACATTTCAGCTGTTTAGTACAGTTGTCGTATGGAGTTACCCACGAATATTTCACGTTTCGAAAACATTCAAACTTTATGCTCTTACTTTATAATCTGGTCAACATTGTTATTACCATTTCATAGGTTGGTATATAACTGGGTAGAACAAATAACACCGTACCTCATTTGCATATCAAACATACTCACTTACATACCGATACATACATATATATCTGTGTGTTTTATACTGCTATAAGCAATGATAATTGTTTTGGAGAAATAATCTTTAAGCCGATTGAGTGAACACGAGTGAAAGCACACAACTAAAGCTATCCACATACATGTTAATTCATCGTAAACAGGCACAGCGTGGCTACTAACTGCATTGCCAAGAAATGATGACAGCTACTGTGGTATTAGCTTGGTGGTGAAATAAAAAAAGAGGGATTGCCTCAGAAAAGTCTATCTGTAATGATTATGTTATTTAAGTTGCGTTGCCTTATATGCTCTAAAGTACACAACGTAACACCTTCAATTTATAGGTTTTCAAAGATCTAGTTGTGAGATGCGGCATCACGAGTTTAATACGAGTAAATAAAACATATCTCTAACAAGAACCAGGTCTTCATATTGCAATTACTTTCAAACGACATGGAGAAATGGTACAATCGTTAAGACTATACCGTTTGACCCCGTATGGTTTAATATGTTGATTGGCCATTTATATCAAACAAGTACTCGAATTTCACTCTGAATGTCAAATTCGATTCTATCAATTTATCAAAGGATCCCAATATCATCGAATTTGATCATAGGAACGAAAACTGCTGACTATTCAATGATGTATACATGTCAGCTATATATAAGTAAAAGGAAGTTTTATTCCGTGTAGCACACATTCAGCATATAATTTGGCCGGGTATATATGTCCTGGGGCTTTGACATCTGTCACCGTGTACTACCTGTTGACATTTGCCATTATTTTAAATAGCCGTGCACTTCCCAAGTTTTCCAACGATACTTAAAAAAAACAAAAAAAACAAAACATTATCCCTGTCGAATTTCTTACGAAAAGCCCTCGTGTTTAACGTGCAATTGTACATGAATAAATAAATAAATACATAGAACACCGCATGACAATCCAGCTGAATATCGAATTTTGATAGAATGCTTCATTATTGTAAAATATCTGAAACAGTATATAAAATGACTAATATACACATAGCATTATTAATATGTTAAATACAGAGGTGTTAAAATGCGAAATCGATTCCACAGCTTAACATTCGGAACGCATTTTCAGTATAGGTTAAAATGGCTGAGACGATTACATACTCGATAAATTGGTAATTTATCTATGATAGCACTGTTGTGTTTTGTTTTTATAAATATTGTTTGTTTTATCGGAAATAAACAGCAATGATATATATCTAGAATTAACATTTTAATAAAACAAATTTTCTTTTCAGATGTCACATAATTTTGTAGGCAATTGTATGTAAAACTGCTAGATATAAAGTATCTACTTTATCTCATTTAATCTCAATATATATTATTTAATATGTTATATGATGTTATCATATATATAAAGATGTGATTTTAATACAAATACATTGTAAAGCTGATATGCATTTTTTTAGATATCTCATATGTTTATGTATATAATGCATATAAGATATCTCATATGAATATGTATATGTTTATGTATATAATGCATATAAGATATATCATATGTTTATGTATATAATGAATATAAGATATATCTTTTAATATACCAAATGTTTTATAAATCTTATGTAATTCAGAATTTATCCTTTTTTCTCTCATTTCAAATCGATTTTATTGTATTTAGATACAATTGGTTAGGCACGGAATTGCATAAAGACCTTTTCCAGAAGGTAGAAATTACATTTAAGGCATTCATACAAACACATACACACATACAAATACAGTGTATGCAGTTCATGTTTTGTATGAATATATATATATCGTACCTTTTATAAACAGTTTATAAAAGGTACGATATATATATTCAGATAAGTAGAAGAAAACTAAAACCTTTACAAACATTTACAATTAGAACACCGGTGATTTTAACTGATATAATCTAATCCACTATCAGTACACGCAGTGTCATGCTAACCAGCTACACCAGATTAGTATAAATGATATAGAAAAAAGAAGATAACAATACAACATAGTTTAAAATCTTCCATTTTAATATATTCCGGTAGACGAGATAATTGATATATTTGCTTCAATGCTAAGGTTCATGTCATACTCCTTAAATGAATAGTAAGCTAGCTTGTCATAATGGCGATAGCTGGAACATTAGATATGTATATTTTGAGAACGATTCCAAGCTATGTATTTTAGACTATGATGAAAGTTTTTACACTTTGGTTATTAAGGATTGTGAGCAGTGGTGGCTAAATTTCTTTTGACAACATGCTTTGATCTCAGAAATAGACATTGTTATTGCTATTTTTTCCTATAAAAAGGTGAACTACAATAATCAATTAGAAGATCACTGTTTCGACTTGAGCACTTTGCTGGAATAATAATATTTGTTCCTGTACTTATGGAATGATAATTGGACGGATTTAAGACGAGATATATGGCTATGAATAACGGAGCTAAGAACATTAGAACAATAATCTGCTTTGTCCCCAAAGCAAAAATCTTGTGTTGCAGTTTGTGATGAAGAGATCAAATACAGTAATAACACATTATATGTACCATTAAATACTAGACCTAAACAAGTACATGTAATTACCCTTGAAAACAATAGTGTTCTCCACTTCTTTCGTCAAATATATGTTCATCATCAAAATATGTGCATCACGGTTTCCGACTGAATCCAATTGTCTGATTTGTTTATTTACATCAGTGACAAAAAGCTTATATTTCCAACCAAAAAACAACAACATAGAACATACATGTCTTGATTCCCTTACATCTGTTTTCTAGTGTCTAAACATTTAAATGCTTATATTTTCCGCCTAACATATTGATAATTCTGTCTGGCCACGTCCGCCAATTCAGCAATATTTGTTTCAAAGAACGGCAGTTCCCTATAACAGGTCATAAAGTTCCCTAATACATTAATACCAAAACATGTCGGGAAGTATTTCAACTAGTTATGTCACATTTACACGAACACGGGTATAAACAAAACGCCGTACAGTCGTAATATTGCGCTACTTTACTGCACTGCAGTATGAAATAACATCACATGAGCCAGCCCGAGGGCCGCCAAACCCTTCTCCTTCCGCGTGCGGCAAAGTAGGGTCTATGCAAACGACACGTATACCCGTCCGTGGTACCCGGTAGTGATGGATGGTAATATGTCACGTGACCTACTGACTATAAAACGAGCAAGTTTCTTTTCGATCAGCAGACTTACGGAGCAACTTCTGCAGTCCACACTACGTGAGTTCATTAGATATTCAAGGATTTTTTTTAAGAATATTGTAATTTCTAACATAATAACGTTTAAACATATGTATACCAATACGAAAACATTGAAGAGAAAAATAACTAATCAAATATAAAGATAAGCAGGTGATTTCGAAAGAAAAATATTTGTTATACGTGTATCTTATATGCATTTACGATGAACTTAATTTGTAACTGAATGTAATTGAGCAATAAGATTTATTTGACATAACGCATTGCTTTAAGGTTTTCAATTATAAAAAGACGTGTCACATTTCCATTTAAACTATTTTGCATGCATTATTGATACAAATTTCATGTATTTTGTCTTTATTTCCCTACAGAAATCCAAAATGCGTTTTGTTATATTGACCGTTTTGGTGGCATGTGCCATGGGCATGGAATTCGACTGTAAGTATCCTTTACCTATATTTGTTATAATGGAAACTCCGCCTGTTAATGCTTACTCTATTCTGTAATCGTTAAGCCGTTTGTCTAGTAATATGGTCAGAAGGTTTTTAAATGAAGATCGATTCCTAGGTAAATTATTAGTTAATTAATGGTAAATGTACTTTTCACTTGCATATTTTGTGATATAAAAATCATATTTGATTATTCAAATGAGCAGTTCTAAGCTATTTGTACAGGCTCAATGGATAATGTTCAAATTCGTTAAGAAACAACAAATTTGCGCAGCAAAAGTAGTGGTAGGATTTAGGAGTTGAGGTTAATCTCGCCTGCAGACGGTACCTATTGACACTTCCGGGTACCTAACCCACTTCCGTGAGTTCGTCACACCTCGTTGTCAGTGTGATTGATCGCCAGCTGGTGTGATCAATCAACTGTGACTCCACACCTTATCTCATTAGCATAATCATGATCAACCAGACTCTTACAAACATAAATGTATTATACTTTCTTGAAGAATGTTCACTGAAATATAAAAAATAAATAAAAAAATTAATAGGAACAAAAAACCTATGCTTCGTTATGGTTTTTATGGTTACACATTAGTTGATATTAAGGCATTGGTAACAACATTTGAATGTGATTTATAATAAATATCTAAAAATAAATAAACTTACATTATTCACAATAAATATTGCTTTTTAAAATATACCATTTTGTTTTCTCTCTCACTAAAACGAACAAGTATATTGTTGTTTTAAAACATTTCCAATCATACACATTTTTTGCTTTTTTTATTGTCTTCTCTTTTTTGAGTTAAGGGTTACTGGAATGATATATAAACAAAGAAATAACCTGTTAGAAATCTCGAACATCACTCATTAGATTATCGCGCATGTCCTTTAATTGTTAGTAATTTATGTTGTCATTATCTACGGTCAAACACATACACAATTCTAGACATATTTTACAGGAGATCTATGTTTGTTTTATATGTACTTGATTTAATCATTGTATTGCTTCTTGTTGAAAGTTATAGTCAATAACGATGCTTTACACATTAGTCTTAGGCGTACATAAACAAAATTGGATACGTATTTACATCTCATAAAATAAAATAATAAATAAAAGAAAAAGATAAATTAAAAGTAATCATTCAGTTCAAATTGAATGTAGTTGCAGGAAGAAATTGTATCAAGCGGTACCATTATGACGTCGACATACGGACCAGATCTTTCAGGGGTATTTTGACTGCAGTCTAGTGTTATTGGCATCCTTAAGGAAACATAGCTTTATATACTACCAAAGATTTACCGTTATACTAAAGTTAAGAAAGGACGGCTTATCGGAATTACCCCCCTCCAGTATCGAATGGCATTGTTCAATTTAAAACAGCTGTTATTCTATAATTTTCTTTCATACTGTATATGACAATTTAATGTTTTCGTTTTTAATAAAAACGCCATTTTTGGAAGAACATGTACGTCACTTCTGTTTTTGTTTGCAGTGAAGAATCTCCAGGGGATGCTTGGAGGTCTCGGCGGTATGGGAAACATCGGCAACTTGATGGGACAAGCCAAGAGCATGATGGAAGGACTCAACCTGGACGACATTTGTAAGTATACAGACGACAATGTACAGGGTTAAAAGCTAAAACTGTTTAGTACTATATACGTATTTCCTTTTTAGCGCACTACAACATTAAGCGCTTTTTTCGATTTTAGCTGATTGTGCATTGATAAATCGACGCGCTCATAATATGTTGATGATGAAATAAAATACAGAAAATTCAATTAGCGAAGTTATAATTCGGCGCAATATTTAAATCGCGAAAAGGCTCATATAAGATTTTCCCTGAAATGGTAAATATCATTAGCAAGCACGACATTTTCTCACAGGTAATCATTATATATATTTTATATATTCAAAGAGGCGATTCTCTTAAACTATTTATTGATAATCTTAATAACATATTAATCTTTATAGTTTTTCCAGAAATTGTTTTGTTCGGAATGAAACAGGTTAATTTTTCGAGTTATAACAAAGTGTTCACTAATTCAAACGTTTTGTTCAGCCTCCATGATTAAAGACATCGACCCCGAAGAGCTGAAGGGAATCATCGACCACATGCCGCCACAAATGATGGAGATGGTCGAGGGAATGGGTAAGTCTCGCCTGTTTACGTACTATTCCAGGTACAAGTACAAGTCGCCCTTTAAATTGTTATTGTCAGTATCTGGCGCATCAATTATTGGGCTCATAACTTTTCCTCAAAATGAAAAAGAAGTTCCATGGTATATATTTGTCCAGAACAATGTAAATAATGGCAGAAATTATTTGTCGAAAATATTGTTGATTTTTTCTGAAAAGTCACTTTTGAATGAAGAATTTGAGTGGCGCAAAATTGCATTGAATATTATAATTAATGAAAAAACTTTACATACATTTCTGAAGTATCCGTGTATTCACTATTATCGAGATAAAGGTAAGAAAATTGTTTCAATCTCAAGAATGAGATTTTCATTTTGAGGAAAAGTTAAGAGCCCAACTCATACTAATTACACTGACATGAGCCTATATGCAATACCTTAACAACTATAACAGTTACTGATTTTATTCATCGTGTCACATGTTTACTGTTTTGTTTACAAATCACAGCTGCATATACACGTGTTGGTCATGATGTGCATTACACTGTTGTTAATGGTTTACTTCAGGAATCTCCAAAGAAGAAATCAGTGAAGCCGCCACTCACCTGCCAGAGCACGTAGACGAAATCAAGGGTTTGCTCGGCGATGCCCAGAACGGTAGGTTGCTTCGACTTCCGCCGTTAAACGTTGATATGATAAATAATACGTTAGTATGATATTCTACATGACCTTGAAACCGTAATGTATTACTATTTATCATTCAAAGGGTGGCTTTTCCTTTTTAAGAACAAATGACGCTAACATTGTTTATAAAACGCGAAATCAAATTCCGAATGAGTATTCTTTACAAAAGCTCACGTTTTACTTGTCAGCCACTATTTTATCCACATTAAGTATTTCTATCTCATTTTAATTTATACATCTTTAATTGACGCCACTGTATAGTTGTTAATTTGTGTTTACTAATTAATAGGAAATCTCCAGAAACTGATGAAGTCTGAGCTCCAGAATATGGGACTTCAGATGCCGGAAGAGGATGATATGGGAAGCATTATGAGTACTTTGAAAACCCAAGCAAAGGCAAAAATGAGCGAGTTTGGTCTTGACGTCGAGGACTTCCAAGGTTAGTATCTACTCGATGAAGCGTAACTTGAGCTATGAATTCAATGTTTATAATGATTAAAAATCGATGATTGAACATAAATAACTGCTTCCAATTTCTCCCAAATTAACTTATTATCCAACTTGAGAGCGACCTTGTGCAACTGATGATCCGCTACTTTGATTATAAATTAGAAGAAAAAATTAGATTGACAACGGAAAAACACTGATTTTGTCCCCTTCCAAATTAATGAATAATTTAACTTGAGTACTGATCTTGTACTTTTGTGCTGACACAAGCGGATGCATTTTTGTCATGCTTTCTAAAACAATGTACTTAGACATATTTTCACGGGTATACAAAGGATAATATATTTGTAATAGGTGGAAACGGTTTCTAACATTCTATAACATTTTTTTCTGCACATCTAGATATCAAATCTGCCATGCCCAAACTGATGTCATTCATTCAGAAACAACTGAAGGAACAAGGCGTTGAAATGAATACAGGTGCGTTTGTGTGTTGTTATGTTTACCAATACGATAGCACGTTTACAATTAAAAAAGGAAATTTAGGCATAGTAGCTGACATTTCAATGCAAATATACATTTAATTTTGATATGTATAAATACCATATAAATACAATTAACCTATTACACATTTGAGTCATTTAAAACAGGTGCAATTTACACCTCATTACATCAAAATATTAAATCAGTATTGTATATAATATTGTATTTAATGTGAAGTTCGTATTTATTACATCATGAGGTTTTATGTTAACATCAATGTCTAATTAATGACGTTTATTTATTTAATGTTATCTTACTTGACAGAGGACCCAGAAAGTATGAAAAAACAGCTTGAGAAAATGCTCTTGGAACATTTCGAAATCCCAGGTAAATATGCGAAACGAAATGCTTGATATAATTTTATTATTGATCTGATGTATATTAAAATAAGGATACTTTATAAATTATTATTGTACTATTTTAATAATTTTACACTTTCATCGATAAATTGGAGGCTATCATAACTAATACATATACATATATATATGTATATGTATAGGGCCAACAAGAGTGATTAACATAAGTTGAAATAACGTGTTTCATACTTATTGTTAAATAAGTGAAGTTTATATTACATATACATAAATTATATAGCAGGTTTTTGTTAATAAATACGATCATATTTAATAATCGGTATCTATCCACTGTTGATACTGTTGATTACTCTATAAGATTTGTTGCTGAGATTTAATCAATTCTTCTAGAATTTATTGATTATATTGTATAATTCCTTCTCTTGTAGAGGACGCTTCCCCAGAAGAGATGAGGGCCAGAGTCATGGGCAAGATGAGGGAATACATGGAAGATCTCGGAATCGAATATACCGAGGAGGACATGGGTAAGCTACTTTCAAACCAAAATAAACATTTAGGAATGCGACCACTTTAAGTCAGCAGTTGATTTTAACTTATACAATACGGCATGTTCTTACTCTCTTTCAAAGATCCACTATATTTCTCTTTTGTTTTAATTAAAGTTTTTGATTTCACAAGAATCGTTTTAAAACAAGATCGCTCCGATTATCATCTAAGTCTTAAAACTGTCATTGTGTTTCACAGAAACCCCAGAGAAGGCAATGAACATGCTCAAGAAGAAGTTCCTCAACACCGCCAACGGTTACGGATTTGAATTTAAAGATGGTAAGTTGGGTCCCTAGCTAGGAGTATAAGGTTTAGTGATCTGTTTCTATGCAATATAAGAATCTGGCGGAAATGTAATTAAAATAATATGATGATAGAATTGTTGATTCGGTTAAGCAGAAGACACTTAACCTGCCGGAAAACCTGGTCTTATTAATCTTGATTTTTTTAGTATGTATCGAATGTGAACATTTCCTTTATTCATTGTTTACTCTAGTTTTATCAATTTTGAGTTCAAATTGTGGTTTTATTGACACTTCAGTGGTCTCATTGTTTATGTTATGCGTAACATACTACATGACCTTCATTTGAAATTTAATTAATGAATCAATATCTTTTCCAACAGATGCTTCTTTCGACGAGATCAAGGAGGCTGTCATGAGCAAAGTGAAGAACTCTGGAATCCTTGAGAACCCCATGCAGTACCTGCCCATGCTCATCAAGGGCTTCAACAGTCTCGGCGGAATGAAAATGCTGATGGGCGAGACCGCACAGCCACAACCCCAAATGCAGATGTCTCCTGAACAGATGATGATGATGCAGCAGCAGCAGCAGAGACAAATGATGATGCAGAGACAAATGATGATGCAGAGGAGGCCAAGTATGGATACGTTGACGTTTGTTAATGACATGATATTGGATAGCATGTAAAATATCCGATGATATGTCATGTAGATTGGCCAAACAAAGATTATGCTATAATATTGCATAGTAACATTAAAAGCACATGCATTAGAAACGGGAAGATTATCAACGTTTGCATAAAATAATATGTATGCATAGAAATGAAAAAGACTCATGTTTGTTTCTGCTTTTTCCCCCTTTTTCCTTCTTTTTAAAATATCAAAATAACACGTGAATCAAAATAATTGCAAATCGGAAAAGCTTTGTTGCATCAAAAACCTCTTGGATGTGTCAAGCGATATGTGGCCGTCTTTTTTATAACGATTTTCTTCAATTACAGTGCCCATGAACATGAACTTCGAGATCAACGTTGATGGCCAGAACTCCTACAGGCCACCAAATGCCTTCCCTGCCTACCTGAGAGGTGCTGAGGATGCCCTTATGCATGCTTATGGTGATGACGAGGAGGTTGTCCGTCACGTGATGACTGTACAACAAGGAATTTCCCAAGGCGCTGTTTCCGAGGAGGCCGTCCACGAGCTTCTCTCCGATCTTATGCACGCGTAAGTTCCAATACCACCCTGCTATAATTACTTTTCTTAATTTAACCTACAATCAGCGATGATACAATTTCGTATGTTCTTTGAGAACAAATTTCTTAGTAGACCATTTCGCTACTCCTTTTCTAGTATGCTATCACGTTCGATTTTTTTTAATAATTTTGAGCATTTTTGTCATTTTTGTTATAATCAGAAGTCTATTATCACTTTACACTTATTCTCCCATGAATCTGCCGTTGCAAGGGTTTATTCCATGTGTTCTGTATTCCTACTTCTTTACCCGTTTTAGTCGTCTCCAGACCCGTGTCCTTGCTGCCAGGAACCAGATGTTGGAGCAGCAGGTCATGCACGAGCAGTTTGAGACTCGTATCCCAGTCAGCAAGAGTCCCTTCCTTAACCATATCCGCCACAAGTGCAGGCACGGCAGGAAAGTCGACCTCGAGTAAAGTCGCCAGCTACCTTAAATATGCCGTATACATCCGTGCACCTGTCAAACAGCCGTAATCTGAAGTCGAACGAAACACCAGCGAACATAAATATATCGCAACCGACTAGATACAGATATCAAGTTACACATTTCAATGCTTTGTTAACATATACTTAGCCAGAGGAAGAATATTTTGGATTATAAATAGTGTAAAACAACGCTATACATTGTAGTTATTTGTTTCCGACATTGCTATGGAAGGAGGTCTGAATAAACTCAAATCGGCCTTACTCCCGTCTCTTGTTGTTTCTCATTTGCATGTGATATATGTTATGTCTGCTTGAAGTGATATATTTATTAATAAAATAATATTTATGAGTGTTTATTAGCCCCTTTATTATTTTTATTTTCTAAGAACATAAAATGAGTTCAAATTGTATAAGTATTGCTCAAACCTGAATTTATAAACTCGTTTAAGAGATAATCCTTGAGGTTTTGCTACATTGTACTGGTCAGTCCTGATATCTTCATCACTTCTGATTTTCTATAAACGCAAAAAATATTGTTAAAGTGATAAAACAATAAACAAATTGTAAATATTTTCAATTTTTAAATCTTCACACCCTCAGAATGAATTCGAGCTAAGTCTAAAAAGGTGATTCGAATTTAAAAGATTAGTGCTGAAATAGACGTTATTTTAATCTATAACCACTGACCTAGGTTGAAATTTGATGAAATGAAAATAATTGAAATGTAACATCATGTTTTCAAAACGATGACCCTGAACATCTCAAAACAGCGATTGACCCAATTCATCTGATGTACTGATTAAGTATTTAAGATGAAAATACTATTTCAAAACAGCGCTGACCTGATAAAGATTTAGTTCCCTGCTCAAATGGTAGGTGTTTCCAGTCTGTAGGTAATCGTTTTGAATTTCAATAGGCTTATATTTGAGTTTTGAATTTTATTAATTTTTACACATAATAGATAATATGAAAGATTTCGTCAACCATGCATTGAACAAGATGAGTCTGAATGTCAATTCAATTGATTGATAAACTCAGGTATATTAGTTGCAAGTTTTATTAATGGTCTTACAACCATTCTTTTTAATTGTATCGTAGATTAACTTTATAAACCATGATCGTCATATTGGTCTTCCACGATGTGTCCTTTTTGGACAATAAATGAAAAGTTGGTTTCCCAATTACTGTAGCTACTGGATATAACTCTAAACATTATTCCAACCTTTCAAGGCTTATGTACGTAATGGAAATGGACACTTAGTATTTTATTCCAATTGTTGGTGTTCCAACTCACAACCGAATACAACTCTTAACATTATTCCAACTAATCAAGGTTTATGCACGTAATGGAAATGGACACTTAGTATTATATATTAATTGTTGGTGTTCCAACTCACAACCGAATACAACTCTATACATTATTCCAACTAATCAAGGTTTATGCACGTAAAGGAAATGGACACTTAGTATTTTATTCCAAGCGTTGGTGTTCCAACTCACAACCGAATACAGCTCTAAATGGTATCCCACCCTGTCCATATTTATGTTAGTGGTGGGATGGACACGTAGTATATTATTTGCATACTTCCAAATTAAAATTCAAACAGTAAGACATATTTGAGGATACCGATGTTCCAGATCCATGGGTTGTTACCTTTATCATTTCGATAGTTGTTTGTATCAACATATACAATTCTTTATCTCTAACACATAACGTTTACGTTTCAATTTAAATCGATTCATTGCATATTCAAAATAAATACGTGTATCATAACAGTTGAAGTCTGCACTGAACAAATCCCCGTTAAAAGAGTTGCATTTTATTTTTGCAATTTAAAAGCTTAACTTTTCAACTTTATATCACTGATGGAATAAATGGAAAATTCATGAAGTTTCGATATTGTGAAACAGTCAGGACTCTTTCTCTCAAACGAACGAAATATTGACAAATGGCCAGGAACCCGTCTTTATTCGTATTTGTTTTGTCTTCTGTCTCTCTGTCTCTATATTTGTCTGTTTGCAAGAACCCAGCGTTATTCGGGATATATATATATATGTATTTATGATGTAGCTGATAAAAATTAAAATATGCAACACAAGTAATGTCATACATTATTAAAACACGTAGATAACACATTTATCATGATAATAAACAGGATACAATAAAGAAATTATGTATGTTTAGTAATTTTATGTTAACTTAAAAAATATTATGATCTAAAATAAGATTTTTGCCAGTAGTTAGCTCCCCTTCTCCAGTTTACCAGATTAGTTGTAGAAAAAAACAAGCCGTCATTTTCGTTCATATTTAAAAATTGTTTATTATGTAACACCTGTACACAATTATATTCGATTATAAGTGAATAACAATAAAAAGCAACACCACCTGTATTGATTTGTTCTAATGTATCCCTCGTTATGGAGTCGGTCTGGTCACTAATGGTCAATTTTGTAAAGTGGCAGCAGCAATACCAGTTCTGTTTCACTACTGAGTGGTACCTAGGGACCACGTGAGAGGTGCGTGCGTATCTTCTAGCATTAGCGATCGATCTTCTAACTTGGTCAGCGACGGACAATTCTGCTCTGACAAAAACTTCATATCTATCGAACAATTTTGATATTTTATGAACTCTAAACATTTCTATACAATGACAAAAGTTACAAGTAACTGATTGTCAACACATTTATAGACGTGCACAGCACGGTAGGCCGACAACAGACTTAAATCAGTATTGAGCAACACACTGACCACCGTCCACGGTGTGACCGCCATATTGGCGAGACCAGAACAAAGGAAATCCAGGGTAAACTAATGATGTCGAAGCAGGACGGCAAGAGTGGGAAGCACCAACGCATAGTTGGAAAATTCGACCTAGTTGGAGAAATCTCCAAAACTATGGACCAAGTGCCACAGGCGAAAGTTAAAAAACCCTCGACCACTCACCCCACGACCACGGGTCAAATTCAAAATAGCGGAAAACCCCAGCCATCCTGTAGTACGGCCAATCCTACTCCAGTAATGACTAGAGCAGTGGATAGCAATCCACTGTTACAATTTGCATCGGCCATTTCCACATCGCTATCCACGATGTTGGAAAATCAGAAACAGATGCAGGTGGAATCACGGCAGTTCATTAATGGTTAAGTGGCCACCAAAATTGACGAGTGTCGAAACCGTGATCAATACATGAGAAAAAAGGGACTCCTGGGCCCTAACACTCCAAGTGCGTCAAATTCATTAAGTGCGCCTGATACACAAGCTATGGAATGTGACGAATCAGTCGACATTTGCCAACAAATTGACGACTTATTAGAGCCTAATCATACGGCCCTGGACAACACAGATGATCAGGCCTGCGAGGTTCCGGACGATAACATTGACGTAGATATTCTCGCAGATCTGTCCGAAACATATGCCTATAATGATGCAGTTGGGCCGGACATGGAGCCTAAACTTGCCACACTGGTAAACAATATCTTGTCACAAAATGTGACCGATGACAAAATAAAGCCAATGTTGGATAAATACAATCGGCCTGCCAACGTTGAACTACTACAGTGTCAAAAAGTGAACCCCGAAATCTGGGGAAAATTGAGAACTTTGACTCGAAGTCGAGACATCAAACTGCAACGCAGTCAGCAGCGATTAGTCAAAGGACTGATTCCGCTAGTCCAGGTTGTGGACACTCTTCTGAAACAGAAGAGTGAGAAGAAAGATATAGACATTTCGTTAGCAGTAAAACTGCTGTTTGATTCTTTTCACTTAATCACCAGTGCTACACAAGAGATCAGTCAACGTCGTCGGGAGTTTATCAAACCTGACTTAAACGGACAATACGCACAACTGTGTGCACATCAGAACACCCCATCGGTGTCATTGTTCGGGGATGATCTGGCCAAGACAATCAAAGACATTTCAGAGACAAATCGCCTTGGATATAAACTCTTATCTAAGCGGCCATCCCACAACCGGTACAATAGCTACGGACAGTACGTTTCAAAAAACGTGGAGGTCAACACGGCCCTCCAAAATACCAGTACGGATATACGAGTTACCGCCCTTACAACAAAGGTGGATATCAAAACCAGAATCAGAGCCAGAGTCCACGGGGCCGAGGCAGGGGACTACAGAACAGGAAACCCCGTCAATAACAAATCCGCAAGCGGGAATCGAGGTGAATGTTAATAAAGCACAAAGTATTGAATTGACAGCTGATTTTCAGGCTGGGTGTATTTCACAGCATTTAAATGCATGGTTTGAAATAACCTCAGATGCCTATTTACTGGATATCGTGGAAAATGGCTATAACATTGAATTTTCCGAAAAACCTTTTCAAAAGTTTACACCACATCCATACAAATTTAGGGATGCGGAAACGTATTTCGTGCAAACAGAAGTCTCAAAACTTGAAAGAAAGCAAAGGGTCCGACCCGTAACACAGTGTACTGATTAATATGTGTCAAACATTTTTCTGAGACCCAAAAAAGATGGTTCGTACAGGATGATATTAAATTTAAAAAATCTGAATCAATCGGTTTATTATAACCATTTTAAAATGGATACTTTACAGACGGCCATTGATCTCATGAGAAAAAAACTGTTTTATGCCATCAATAGATTGGAAAGATGCATACTATTAAGTGGCAATAGCTTCAGAATATGAAAAAAAATACGTTTCCAATTTGAAGGACAGTTGTATGAATTCACCGCCTTACCAAATGGTCTAGCATCAGCTCCCCGCATTTTCACAAAACTAACAAAACCGTTGTTATCGGAGTAACGAAAAAGGGGCCATCAAATAGTATCCTATATTGATGATTCATTGGTGGTTGGGGACTCGTACATTGAGTGTAGCCGCGGTTTACAGGACACAATACATATGTCACAAGACCTGGGGTTTGTTATACACCAAGACAAGTCCATCTTCACCCCATCTCGAACAATACAATATCTCGGGTTTATTTTAAGTTCGATTGATATGACTGTATCACTTACGCCAGAAAAAGCAACCAAAGTCAGGACTGCTTGTCAAAATTTGTTAAAAGCCAAGAAAATTACAATCCATGATGTTTCGGTTGTTGTTGGATTGATAGTTTCAAGTTTTCCGGGGGGTCAATATGGCAAGTTGTACTATAGGTCAATTGATAACAACAAAGCTAAGGCGTTAAAGTTAAATCATGGCAATTTTAATGGACACATGTCACTGACACAAACGTGTAAAGATGACTTGACTTGGTGGATAGACAATATCCACAATGTCTCAAACCCCATTGTAACTGCAGACCCCAGCATGATTACTGCATCAGATGCATCAAACACAGGGTGGGGTGGAGTCTGTAAGAGAAAGCAAACT